GCAAGAAACAAAAACTAAAAATCTAGATGATTTTCTTGTATGTGTTTGGGGTTTGATTCTTGTGGTGAGCCTCAAAGTTAAAAAGGTTCAACCTGGGCCAGCCAAATAGCTCAGCAGATTAAAGTGCCTGCTTAGGTAGACACAGGGACAGGGGTTCGATCCCCGGCATGTGTGCCAGCCCCGGCCCCAGGGCACACTGAGAGGGCGATTGAGACTGGGTGTGGTGGCACACACCTGTCATCCCAGTGCTAGGGAAGCTGAAAACAGGAGGATTACTATCTGTGTAGTGGAGACTCTGTAGACCCTGTACTAAACACACACAAAAAAAATTCAACTAACATTTTTTATATTACTTTGTAACTAGAAAATAGAATAGCCATATAATAGAGAATCACTTGTTGAACTTCTTTAGACACACTTAGGTAGTGTTTTTTTTCTATTCTGCTCTGAATTTTTTTTTTATTTTATAAAAACTTTTTGATAAAAGTAATAAGTACTTTTGAAACTTTGTTAATCCTTATAGTAACCTCTTGGGGTTTGTACTATTATCCCAATCTCACTGGGAAAACTGAAGCGTACTTAAACTTTCCCAGGGTCATTCAGATTCTGAGTTGGAGAGTTGGAATTTTTTTTTTTTTTTAGGAAGCAACCAACTAGTGTTGGTTTTCTTGTTTTGTTTTTACAGGGTTAGAAAAAAGTATACCTGAAGTACATATCTCCTTAAAAATAACTTTTGGCAAATGTGTGAACATCACAACACAAAACTGAAAACAACAGAAATTTACATGAAACTGATGAGGAAGTTTATAGAAAACTAATTAACAATGACATTTTCCTGGTAAAGACTATACAATTATATACTCAAAAGTTTTCATGAAATATTACAACCCATGAAGTTAGGGCATTAACATTACTTAACAACAAAAATAAACTGATTTGAGGAAGATCAGTATGAAAATATTCTGATGTAGTGATGTCCAAAAACGTTCTGCGATGGAAACATTCTTCATCTCTGTACTATCCAACATGGAATCTACTAGCCATGTGAATTCTTGAAATGTAAAGGCAACTGAGGACAAGAAATTTTCATGTACTTAAATAGCCACATGTGACTAGGGGCTACTTATTCAACTGTGTAGTTCCAATGTTTCTTCAGTCAAAAGCTAGTGTTTCTTTTAGGAGACTTCTCCAATTATTGCTAAGGGACTACAAGTTAGGTGTGCAAAGAAAAGAAAGCTCTTAATTGATTTCTCCGTCCACTTAAGATCTAAAATTCTATACAGCTTTTTGAGGCAGAGACTCGCGCAACCCACTAAGGAAGAATGTAAGGGAAGGACGCTTGGGTAAATTTCAGTACATATGCCCTTCCAATTCCGAGGTATTGTCAGTGGGAAGATTTTGGTCACTCAGGAAGATGCTTACAATTACACAGAATCAGGTTGTGCCATTCTGAGGGCCACAGGTGCATGGAAATCACTACCGTGAGGCTGGTGGAGAGATGGAGGTGGTGTTCATTTGCGGATAGGGTTTGCAGAGCTAGATGAGGGTTTAGAGGCTGAGGGAGCTGAAGGACCTTTCTGGCCACTGGCAGGCTGAACAGGACCCTTTTTCTTTGGGATTACAGTCTTGTTCTTGGTCTTAAACACTTTGCTTGGATCTAGCTTATTCATGAAGGAGTCGGTCTCTCCAGCGAGCAGGTCTGTGTTGTGGGCGATGGGCTTATACAAGCTGAACCATTGCTTGGCCTGTGGGCTAATGCCATAGCTGGTGAAGGCAAACTGCCACTGGGGCAGGCCCAGGTGGGTGACGAGCAGGCGGTAATAGGCAGTAAAAGTATCTGTGAGAAAATGCCAATATAATGCTCTATCCAGGAACCAGATTTCAGTGTCTTGTGATAATGCTGGTTTCCCAGTTTTGTAGACAAGGCAAACCTTCCCATTTCCATTGCATGAATCCAGCTCAAATATCACACTTCGAGAGTCAAAATGAGGCTTCTCTGGCTGGTCATCACTGGCTTCATATGTATCATCCTCCAGGTCTGCCAGAGTTGGTGCATTAGGAAGTGAATACATAGAAGACTGGTTGAGTTCATTTAATTTTGAGATGCTATTAATTGCCATGTTGCCCAGCGGAATGATGTGCTCATCTAGCTTCACACTCCAGGTCATGTGGAAGCCATTGGTCATCAAGTAAAAGTTCTTCATGTCCTCAGGCATCACACAATTATTTTTTTGTTCCCAGGAAGAAATCATATGACGTTCAGCAGGTGCCTTTTCTATGATGGTTACCTCTATCACACCTGGAGAAGATTCTAGGATGCAGGCGATGCCAAGGGTCAGCTTCTCCAGGTGCGGCTTGTGCAGCCCGGCATCGGGGGCAACGCGCCCTCCATGGCTCCTGTCCCAGCTCGCTGCGCGGCTGCCACACCGAGAGTTGGAATTTGAACCCACATTATCTGACTGTACAGTCTGAGGCTCATTCCTGCTGTCCTTTTATACTAATTGAGTTGACTATTCCTGGACCCAAGACCACAGCCACGCAGAGAGAGTCAGGGAGAGGGCCTTTGGTACTTTGATAACTCCAGGTATGTAATACTCCCTTTTAGTAGCTTTGAGAAAAATTATGTATTATGTGCTTGATGGCTTGGAATCTGTACCAAATGCTTCCTGCGTTTGGATACATTTAGAATGTAAGGAGAAAGTCTCTGTTGCAGCTGTATTTGGGTTAACTGTCTGTATAAAGCTTACCAAAAGAAAGAACATGAGTACTTCACATGTCTGTGGTGCTCCTAGAGTACTGTATCATTTTTGATCCTCAGCCCAACTTGTTGAGCAACGGACAATAGGTATGAACAGTTTCCTTTTACAAATGAAATGCAGGATTTCAACTGGGACTCAGAAAGTTTGAATGACTTTCCAAAACATCTCACAACTAGAGAGCAACAGTTCTAATCTAGTGCTCCTGGCTCTAAATCTGGGGATCTTTCCTCTATATTTAACCCCTTTCCAGCAATCTGAACTTTGCCGTTACCTTGGCAACAGCAGAACACTGAGTACCTGGAAACCATGGTACTGATTTCTCTTTGTGCCAAAAAAGGTTCAACTGCGGGCACCTTAATTATGTGTCCCTGTGTGACATGCTTGTCTTGGTGTGTTTCTCTTAGAGTCTGGCAGGATTAGTGCCTTTGTCACCAGAAGCTTACTTTGATGGGCTTCTTGGTGCTAGATGAGGTATGCTGTCTTTTCTGATTGTGGCCCGGTTATTATGTTTCTCTTGGTCCTGAGACATGGGTGTGAAACAAGAAGCCTGGGAGAGCAGCAGAGGCCCGAGTGCAGCCTTTCCTTTTTTTCTTTTTCGGCAGAACCTTGCACTTGCCAGGGAAGTGCTTATTGCACTGAGCTATCTCCCAGGCCCCAACCTTTCCTCCCATTGTAAGAGATGTTGGGTACGCAGGAAGGGCCTTTCCCTGTTGTTTAAGGCAACAAGCTCTAGTTGTCTTTTTTTTTTTTGTATTTTAAGGAAGGGTTTACACAGTGTTCAGGGTCTCACTACTAGCCCAGACTCCTAGTTATCCACCTGTTTACAGCCTCCCAAGAGCTGGGATTACAGACGCGTGCCACCACGCCCAGTCTCAATTGCTGTCTCAGTGAGCCCCGAGGGTGGGGCTGGCATGGCAGGCCTCAGCATTGAAGCCCTGGACCCCTGCTGAGCTATTTGGTCGGCACTTCTAGTTGTTTTAGACAAGATTTAGTTTATATTTTAAAGAAAATAGCCAAGCAGCTTCCTTATCAATAAAACAAAATGGATGGCGCACTCACGGGGTTAGATGTGTGACCATGGCTCTAATCTCCAAGTCCAAGTCCACTTAAGATTTTTGCCAGCAGGGGGCACTTCTCTCCCACTCTTAAAAGAAAAAACACGTTCTTATTTCTGTGCTGTCTGTCCCTCAGAATGATCTTAAACTTAGTTGGCCAGACTCAGGCATTCTATTTCCATTTTGTAGCAGTTTAGTCACTAATATCTGTTTATATATTGTAATACATTTATATGTCTTTCCACAAAGGATTCGAAATTGCTTACAATATATATGACAGTAAAATACAAAGAAAGAGGATATAAATGACTCCCAAAATATCCTATTTGACTCAGAGTTACTAGGAGCTGACGTAATAATATAGTTTCCCCTATTGGGTTTTTGGATAAATGCAGAGGAAGTGCTTACTTAGGGCAGGTTTTCTTTTGTGTCTTTCCTTATGTAACCTGATTTACAGTGTTATTCCTGTCCTAGGAAAACTAGGCAGTACCTTATTACTCTGCACCTTGAGGACCGTACATCAGTTTTCTTTCAACCTATCTAAACCCCCGACCACTTTTTGAGGTAGGGTCGCGCTGTGTACTTCAGGCTGGTCTTGAACTCATTACGTAGCCCTCGAATTTACCTTTTCAGGATGCCGTCTTCACGCGTGCATTGATCTCAAATTATCCTAGGCATTAGTAATACAAACACTCATCGCATAGGTGGACTTGTAGGTAGGTAGCCTTGGTGGCCCTAACAATATATTTTCTGCGTCAGCTTTTTGACTAGCTGGGGAAAGATTTAGCTTGCACTCCATACAAGATTAGAGAGCTATTATCACCAAGCCTTACTCTGTCTCTTCCTGTGGTTCTAAGCAATAAATGGGTACATTCCCTGGCATTCCCCTTTCTAACAGGGCACGCGACCAGCTTCCTTTAGGAGTAAAGTTGGCCTGGAATGAAGGATCAGCGTTAGCCGAGGCGGGAGGAGGTGAGGGGGACCTGCTCCCCGCCCCGCCTCAGGCTGTTGGAGGCTGGGACGGACTGGAGGCCGGCTGTAGGACTCCCGGGAACAAAAGGTCCCAGCCGTGGGGGGCCCCCGGGGCTCCGTGCGCTCTGGGAGCCGCGGCGCGGCTGGCTCTGTGGCGCGCGGGTGGCACCGCGGCTGGCAGGAAAGGCGCTCGCGCGCTCCGTCCCCGCGCTGCATGGCCAGCCCCGCGCAGTCCGGCTTCCCCGCACGCACCAATAGTCGCCTGGACGCATTCTTGAGGCGGCAGCTGCCACCCGAGGTCTACGACACCATCCGCGCCTACGAGCTGTGCATCGTGGTGTCCCAGTCGGAGAAGCACACCTTCAAGTACGTGGTGCTCAGCGACCGGCTCATCTACCTGGCCGATCACCAGCCCAAGTCCATCCAGCGGGTCGTGGCGCTGCGGGACATCGTGGCCATTGACCTGGTGAGGGGCGCGGGGGGCGTGCGGGCTCGGGCGTGCAGCGGAGCCGGTTCGTAGCGCCCTTAATCCCAGCCTCCTGCACGCGGAAGGACCAAGACCTTCCCATTCCCATCCCGGACCGGAACTCTCAGTTCGGTGTGAGTAGCCACACAGCAAAGCTGTGGATTGCATTAGACGCTGGACAAACACGCCTCTCCCATCCTCGTCTTGTCTGCTTGTCCCTATGTCACCCCCACTCCCGCACTCAGCCTCCAGCCCCGCCCCATAGAGCTACAGGTTTGGAAACGCCTCCTGTCAAAAATATGCTTTAAATTCATTGTTTTTGTTTGTCGGGCACTTCATATGCTCAAGAACTGTGCTGGACCAGAAGCATACAAAACCGAAGCAGGACTTCTTCCTTGAAGCAGGGGCGTGTGAGAAACGGAAAGCCAGGGTCAATGCAAACAAATGCTGTGTGCCAACGGGTGCTAGGATTTGTTTACTTTTGGCCCCAGTACTTAGGGCATGTTAGGTGCTCCAGGATAAGTGAGTGAATGAGTGTAAGGTGTGCCCCCGAGGCCAGCCCACCTTGGGCTGGCCACTTGATCCAAATTAAGCTGCAGGCGAGTAGGGCTTAGGGAGGAGCGTCTTCCTGGAAGGAGTGGCATCACAGCCGCGTCTGGAAGGAGATACAGTCTGGCACAGCTCTCCTTGTTCCCGTTTGTATTATGCTGCCGCTGTATCCCTTTCCTCCAGGAATAGATTTACCTTATAAATCTATCCCTGACAGATTGGAAGCAGGATCTCCTCTCCGGTTACAGTTTTTCCCCCTCTTTGGTCCCTTTGTGTGAGCCACTTCAGGTCTGTTCTGAATTTTTCCATCGGGGACAGATGTCTGGCCAGCTTCTCTTTCCTTTCCCTTGCCTAAATCTTTGTGTACCCGAGGGAGTGGCTGGCAGGTGAGACGCTTGGTGGAGCTGTGTGGCCCAGATGCTCTGAGCTTGTTTTGAAGGTCTGAAGAACATAATGAAATTAGATGAACAGATCTTTTGTTTTCTGCTTAAACGAGTACTACAGCGGGCTAATATGACGGGAAAGATCTTCTTCTCCCCCACCCCTCCCCCTCTTCCTCCCCTTTCCCCTCCTCCCCTCCTCCTCCTTTTTCTTCTTCCTCCAGCGCTGGGATTACAGATGTGCACCACCATGCTGGATCTCGATGGCCTGCTCACCCAGGGACAGGGCCCGCATGGCCTGTAGTGGTGGGGATGGAACCCTGGTCTCTGCACTTGTCTAAGCAGGTGCTTAGTCTGCTGAGCTATCTCTCAGGCCCTTGATTTTTTAAAAACATTTTTCTATAACAAATTTCTTAATGTAGTTGATGCTATAGAAGACATATTTTAGT